AAGAAGACTTCTCAAGACTCCACTCTGGATTTCTTTTGATTTTTTGCAAAAGACTTTTTTTCCAAAATTTGAGCTGCTAAATTCAGGGTGCGGCTTATCTGCAGGTGCGGCTTATCTGCAGGTGCGGCTTTGCTTATCTGCAGGTTTTTATGGTACTTTCAAGTCCGGATGTTGGTTGCAGCTGGAAATTATGCTACTTCAAATTAAAATGTGTTTGATGACATAGGGAGACCCTGATGTTGTAAAGAATTGGATTAAAGTTGAAAATGCTAATCCATGATTTAGTAGTGTTAACATACAGAGTTGATGTGACTCACCTGTATTCATAAGAGATTTTTGAGGGTATATACCGGTATATATCTCTTACTAACCAAATTGGAGGTCCATACTCTAAAGTTGTCACAAACATTTTTTCTGCTCAAATTTTTTTCCTGGCAAGTTAATTGCAATTAGTGCACAAGCTAAAAATTTGGGTAGAGGAAATAAGCTTCTGTAATTTACTCAGTGGACTAAGAAAAGGAGTTTAGAAAAAGTTATATAATATAATTTATCTCTAGGTCCTGATAGAAGGGAAAGCTAAGGTTTGGATTCAAACAAACTTTTGAAAGTGGCAGGCTGTACATGTGTATTATTAACCAAGCGCGAGGGAAAGATGGCTGGATATATTGGCTGAGTTCTTTTATTGCATTATTAATTTAGGGACTGAGATGAAGTTGATGTCCTTAAAAATGGGAAAAAAGAATGAGGCTATAATATCTAGCCATCTTGACAGAACAAGCTTGGTTAATGAAGGATTTATTATATTGCAAAGAGAATTCGCTTCATGAAGAATTAATAATGACTTGTTTACTTTGAGAGCCGCAAAAGAAAGCCATGCAACTGTGTTTGTAGCACAACAAACTTGCGAGAGTCATTCTGTTTTTCTGCTGCTTTTTGTGTTTCCATTGCTGAAATTGTCCAAGAATAACAAACATATAGTTCTAATTCAGTTGTTTTTCATGTGTTGGATCAATGCGGGCAATCCCAAGCGGCAGAATTGGGCCCAGCTTGCGCACCCAGGTTGCCAATCATAACACAGGATTTGCTTCATCTTGCCCATAGGCACTGAGTTATGTAATAAAGTGAAATACAGCCCACTAAGTTGACCAATAAAAATTGTCACTAATCACAACATACATGCCATGGCCAAGTGAGAGATAAATGAAGTTAAGTGATTAATATAAAACTTCTCCCTATAATTTCCATACATTATGCAGCAAACAGGTAATGAGAATACTCAAACTTATCAGGTAGAAGTTGAAATCCTGATCTAACACCAAATTCTCATAACTATTTTGCAAGGAAATGTGTGGCAGCTAGAGGAGAGAATTTATTTAATAATCAGATCTTCGGAGTTGAAGGGCTAACTATGGCTCTAGGACCTTTGTTTTTTTTATCACAGAGCAGATCAAAGCTAGGTTACAATAAAATAGATATTTCTGTGAGAATTCTTTCAATTGAAAAATATACCAAAACAGGTGAGTTAATGGCTACCTTAAATTCTCTTGATACTGTGGCCAATCAAAATCTGTTTCATGGAGGAGGCTTTTAACAATTTGCTTGTCTTGTCACACAAGTGAGATTATAATTTTCCTCATCTGATTGGATGACTCAACTTTTCTGCCCTGATAACTTAGAGTGAAAATTAGAAATATGCTGATCACATTAGATTGCTGTGATACAAATGGTAAAATGTGAGCCTACCAAGGCTGTGCTCTAAGGAAAATTGAATGGAGCCCAGTGCTCTGAAACTCTCAAATCCAGGGTGCTCAGCATGTACATATACTTTGTATGCAAAAATTAAGATTCCTGAGTTGCTCAAGAGCAAAAGTAAGCTGCCAGGGGCCACTTAGGGCACTGCTAGACCACAGCGTTGGCTTACAACCCCATTGCCTGATAGCAGTAAACTGCGGAAACATTGCGATCTACATCTCAAGTGATCAAATTGTGAGACAAACAATTAACGGTTTATTACTAATCACCACCACAGTGAACAATAACCTATTTTTCGATAAAGATTAGCATCTTCTCACAATGAGAGTATGAATTTGTAACTGACCCCACTTGGAAAATTTCAGCTATGCTTTGATCTACTATAATGCCACACTATTTCTTTAGTTGCTATTTTTCACAACCTTGGATATTCACCACATATTTTTTTTTATTTGATAGATCCTCCACGGATTTTAACAGTTCTTCCAAAGGAAATTAAAGAGAATGAAAGCGAAAATTTACAACTTACTTGTGAAACTGCAGGGCGACCAAAACCAAGGGTCACGTGGAAGAGAGGAGACACAGTTCTCAATCAGACACGGTGGATTTCCACTTTGAATTTTTCACCCTTAACTTACAAAGATCATGGGGAATACAAATGTATTGCAGAAAATGCTGGTGGAAGGGAAGACAAAACAGTCAGAATCAATGTCCAGTGTAAGTGCAGAGCGCCCAGGCTCCAACAACGGCCTTGACCCCCAAATAAGCACCCACCCCCCACCTCCCAGGTTATAATGTGAACCAAGTGACAATCTCGAATAAGCAATCCCCCCTCCCCCTCCCCCTCCTTCCACACTATCTAAACCCTTAAACTCCCAGAAGTGATCAACATGTATAACTTCTCCCCATAATATCCATACATTATCCAACAAACAGGTGATGAGAATACTCAAACTTATCAGGTAGAAGTTATTATCTTTATTATCGAACACCAAATTCTTGTAACTAATTTACAAGGAAATGTGTAACAGGTAGAGGGGAGAATTAACAATCAGATTTTAAGAGTAAAAGGTTCAAAGAGTAGAACACGCAAAACCTGTTTCTCCTGCACTTTATTCATAATTAACTTTTTAAGCTCAGCTAGGTCAACTACATACAGCAGAATACAGGAGAGTAATGATAAAGCAGGCCCCTCAACTTATAAAGCACCATCCTTCAAAGTAGAATATCAATAGTCCATTTTACAGCTCTGTGCTTGGTTGCCAAGCCTTTGAACGGGAGTGAGGCTAGAGATGACCTTGTTATGATACAAACCTTGCTGCCTTTCAAATGTAAATCACTTTGTTATCATGCTAACTAGATACAGGTCTCTATCACAACAAGGTCATCTTTAGCCTCATTCTGAATCGAAGGCTTGGCAACTAAGTACACAACTGTAAAATGGCCTATTGAACTACTTTAATATCATGTTGGTCTTTGCCAATTTGCTTGATAAGCGCAGGAGTCTGCCAAGAATCTATCATAAGAAAATTAAGGGAACAGTCCCACATCTGTGGTTAATACGTAAACATTGATTTAAGAATATTTTGCAATTTCTTATGTTTAAGGTTATAAAAAATGGTGCATGTTGTTAAACTTCAGATTCACCCAAGGAAACCAATATTACAACAGATGCTCCTTCAGACACAGTCAGCGATGGTTCTCGTATTTCAATCACCTGCAAAGCATATGGAAATCCTAAACCCATTTACCAGTTTTTCATTCATGAGGAGCCTATAGTAGATAGAAAGGCAGAGATATCAGGTGTGCTTAGTGTGACCGCTATTTCCTTCACACATAGTGGAATCTACAGCTGTAGAGCAGAAAATGAAATAGGAAGAGGTCCCAAGAAGGAGGTCACAGTATATGTTCGACGTAAGTCAAGTTACCCTATGAAACAATTTTTTTTTTAGAAAAAGGTCTGTTGACCATTAGAGCAGTGTTTTTGTGATGGATTAATTGATGGTATTGCACTCATTTTTTTGCTTTGAAACTTGTTTGGTAGCCTGGGAATGCAATGTGGAGAGAAGTAATTGACTGGTGGGGGTATAGGTGGGTGCGGGCTTGGCAATGAACTGGCAATCTGTTTAAGTAGGCATAGCATGTGTTTGAGATGTGTTAACTGCTCTTGCAGGATCACTTGTTGACCATAAGCTGACAGTACCTTTACCTTTGTGTGTTAAAGAAACATATAAATGTCATATGAATTAAAGGACTCTTGAGTGACACTTGGTTCTCAGTCATGGAATGCGATTTGTCTGCTTCAGAAAGAGATGCAAGAGCACTTTATTGACAAGCCTTCAAAAGACTTACAAGCAAATCACTTTGGAGACTGAATTATTACCAAACAGGCAAAATGTCACCAACCAGCTCAGCTTGATATAGCGCAATGTTGAAGGACTGAGTAATATGAATAAAAAGTGGTGGCTGGAAGAGAAAGAGAGAGAAAGAGAGGGAGGGAGAGAGAAAGAGAGAGAAAGAGAGAGAAAGAGAGAGAAAGAGAGAGAGGGAGAAAGAGAGGGAGGGAGAGAGGGCAGGGCTCGACGCTTAAACTTTTCAACTTACTAGCCAAGTGGCTAGTGACATCTTAGATGTTATGACAATTTCAGTCTGTTTATTAGCCAAACTGGCTCAAGTGGAAATATTGAAAACCACTAACCAAAACTGAATTTCTACTAGTCCGTGGCTAGTGGGCTACCTTTAGTGTCGAGCCCTGGAGGGAGTTGCTAGTTGGGCAGTAAAGATGTTGCTTTTTATGGAAAGAAATAAAAAATGGGTCACATGCAGGATTCTTGCTAAGCACTGGCTGCCTGCTAAATTTGTGGGACGAAAAAGTGGTGATTGCTAGCTGAATTTGTTTGTCTATACTTCTGAGGTTTTGCTTGTACAGTCTTACAATACTCATGAACACATTACTAGAGCTGTGTCACTTGAAATTTCAGCCCATTACTTCTTAGCTACAACATTGCAGATGATATGGTATGTGATACTTGATATCCTAACTGGAACCCAGTCCCACACACCTACTTTCTTGTCTTTTCCTTTCCATTCTCTTGCAAGCTCAGCTGGCACGAAAACCATTTCTCTCACGATGTTGACAGGGTATAATTATTTTTCTGCAGTTTCTTTTAGAAGCCATAACATGTACAATCATCTTGAATTCTCCTTCAGACAAACCCAAGATCACACTTCAACCTTAAAATGTGGCTGTTGATGAAGATTATCCTGTATCAGGGTTTTGTGAGGCCAAAGGCTACCCACCTCCAGAAATAAGATGGGTAAAAGAACAAGGCAATAAACTGGTTGCCAGAGGAAAGAATTTGTTTATTCCAAATGCACAGCGCACCGATAAGGGAAGGTACAGATGTGTGGCAACTAATGACTTGGGACATACAAGTGAAGCGTTCAGGATTGATGTGTATTGTGAGTGAATACTTTTGTAACGATACCAAATATGTATGGCTACTGGTGTGCAGTGGGTGGCTCTGTACCTGGGAAAAGCGCTGCAGTGAAAAACCAGAACATAAGAGCCTGCTGGCAGCAGGCTAAACAGAAAGCAGTAAGAGGTCTTGCGGTGCATAAAAGATACCATGTGTGACATCTGGATGTTAATTTAATTTTTGAGTGTTAATAGTTTCTTTATATATGAGGAAAGCAAGCATTTAGTAATGAAGTGTTATTATCACCATAACATAAACCGCTAACTGTTTTCTCCTCTAGCCCTTTTTCTGAGTAAATAAGTGTGTATAATGCAGTATAATTACAACAAATACCTGTGTGCTACAAATTAAGGGAAAATTACAATCTTTAACAAGTATGGCGGTGTACATGGAACCTTAAACTTGGCAACTTAAAACTGGCACATTATGTATCATCCCCATCTCTGGCCAAATTGTCTTGCTTTGGTGGTAACCAAGATAATTGTGTCAGCAATAGTTGCTTTATTGTAATTTCAATAAAAAAGGTATTTCAAAATGATCATTATTATTTTTTTTTCTTTTTCGGCTTTCCCCAACAAGATAAACCTGTTATTAATAAGACTGCCTCAAGTCAAGACGTCCCAGTGTGGAAGGGGACTACAGCAAATTTGTCATGTGTTGCTGACGGCAACCCAGCCCCTCGTTACACCTGGACTAACTCAAGTGGTTTGGTAGCAAGTTCAGAGGAGAGTGGAATACTGCAGGTAACCCCACTTGATCCCAATGGTTTTGGGCCATACACATGTACAGTGGAGAACAACAAAGGAAAGGATTCTTACGATATACGTCTGGTGAAAGTTGGTATGTCAAACTGAGAACTAAACCAGGAATTTTGTAATATCCAGGGAAAAGACAATTTCTGTCTTCCATTCATCCAAATTAACTTGAGGGCCCAGTTGTCTGAAGGGCTGATAATGCTATACAATGGTTGAATTATTATTTATTGGATAAAGTGTCAACAAAATTTTCTGTGCTGCATTCTGCAGTGAATCACCATCTGCTTGATGGAGGATTCATCCATTGGATACCATCATTCAGCCTTTGAACAATTGGGGCCTGGGGAAGGAGAGACTCTATCACTTAGGTATCAAGGAATTGAGCAGAACAGTCTTTCAAAGATGCAAATATATTTTATTTGTGAAAGTAGATTTCTAAATTTGTTATTGTGTGTCTGTAATTTGACATGTATTCACTAATTTTGAAATTTGTACCCAGCATTTGATCCTCAGCTCTGAACTCATCTTTGTTTTTCAGTTGCCTTTTCATTATAAATGTATTACATTGATTGAACATGGAGGTTTGGAGGAAATCTCAGTTGATAACTCTGTGCCGTCTTTTTGCATTTGTTTCTAGATAAACCAATTGTCACACTTGAACTTGAAGCTTCGTCCACAAACAGTCTTTACTTCAGCTGGTCATTGTTGTCAGATGGCATGAGCAAGTTACATCTGCAGCACTACACTTTACAGTACCGTACAGATCAGGACAGCCACTGGTCAACAAAAAGAATTTCTTCAGAAAAAAGTTCTTTCCTGCTAACTGATTTACAGCCATATACTTGGTATACTGTCCAATTGCTTGCAACAAATTTTCACTTTACCAGTGATCCATCTCGTGTCATAACAAGGACTGGTGAAGCAGGTAAGATTGAGACACTGTTAATTAAAAGGCATTCGTAAACAACGAATGAAGCAGAATTCAGGTGAGCATTGTCAAACCAAAAGTGGAAGGGAATCACAATAGTCAACCTGGAATTACATCCCAAACCCACCTACTAGTAGGTAGTTGGGAACAACTACTCTCTGAAAAAACCTGTCAGCTGATCGACTTAATTATGGCCAACTGTTGACCGACAGATGGATGACGATGAGGTGGCCATCACAATCATTTTTTTATCATGTCACAGTTTTATTATGAAGTAGCAAAATGACCAGCTTCTAGTTGGCTTGTAGTAGATGAAGATTTATTTATACTCGAAATTTATGGAGTTTGTCAGGCACCTAGCTTAGATAGCTAATGAATCGAGTAGAAAAGAAATGAAATATAATTATACTAGAAAGTCTACCATAAAAGTTCAGAGATAATAAGTAAAATATAAGGTTAACTAATTAATTAATTAATCAACCAATTAATAACATTATAAATACACTAATATAGCTATATACATGCTATTAAAAAGATAGGATACTTATTAAAAACTACATCCAGAGTAAAAATTACATTAAGTCTAAGAGCTACAAAGGGTACAGTATACATACGTCAAAAGTAATTTTCCTGATACGTGTTACAAACTCTTTTAGTGTTCGTGAAGTTCTTAAGTCATTATTTAAAGAGTTCCAGATTTTTGGACCAAAGTACCTGAAAGTATTTAGCCCATGCTTAGTAGTGTTGACTCTGGGGTTGTACAAGAATCAGTTCGCCACGTGGGTTGTGTGAGTTGTTTCTAAGCGTCAGCAGAGTACGAAGTGGATTTGATGTTGTCCCAAGAATAACTTTATAAATAAGAGTGCACATGTCCTGGACTCTTCTGTGGGTAGCTCAGTTGGTAGAGTCCGCATGGGAATTGCTGAGTTCATGGGTTCATTTCCTATACTTACAGGCCTGAATTTTTCAGGCTATAATTTTATTTAATTATAAGAATTAATTAGTAATAATTAATAATAATAATTAATAATTAATCTGCTTAATTAGTGAACTTCATACCTCCGTCTGACATGGCCCTGTAGGGAATTATCATAAGCACGCTTTGGGCATGGGTCATTGCATGATCAAAGCAGAGTTATACAGTCATATAAGAAACTTAGGTCCACTCGCCACTCCTTGTAATTTGTAAGAAGTATTTATTTTATTACCCAAGCACCTGGACCTCCTGAGAATGTCAAGGCTTATGCAGTCAACTGGACATCTATTCGTGTGGAGTGGGACCCTCCACAAAAACCTAATGGAGAATTGAAATTATATTCAGTCTATATCCCAGACAGTCCACACTTTGTTTCTGTTATGCCAAATTTTACTGAAGTTATCATTGGACATTTGGAGCCATACACCAACTACACTGTGAAAGTGAAAGTGAAAAACAGTGCAGGTGAAGAGGAGAGCTCTGCAGTGATTGTTCAAACAAAACAATCAGGTTGGTTGTTATACATTTTCTTAATGTTCTATGGATTTCTTATAAATGAACCCATCACCCCCTAACATCAGTATGCATATTCTCCATACTGTTCTCTATACAATTCCTAAGGACCTTTTCACCCTAAATTCAGTATGCATATTTTCCATACTGTTCTCTATACAATTCCTAAGGACCTTCTCAGCCTAACATCAGTTTGCATATTCTCCATACTGTTCTCTATACAATTCCTAAGGACCTTTTCAGCGCCTAACATCAGTATGCATATTCTCCATACTGTTCTCTATATACACTTACTATATAAGGACCTTTTCACCCTAACATCAGTTTGCATATTCTCCATACTGTTCTCTATACACTTACTAATGACCTTTTCACCCTAACATCAGCATGCGCATATTCTCCGTACTGTTCTCTATACATTTCCTAAGGTGCTGACAAGGAAAATTTGTTTAACAATCAAAAACTGTTTTAGTTGATGTATGCATGATCACATTTTCTTAATTCTGGTGACCTTAATGTGTGATTCAGGGGTGATATTGTAAGGAGAAATTAGATTTTAGTCACTCCTAGGGATTAAAAGGGTTAAGGTGAGTCCTTGTTTAATCAGCTCCGGAATATTTGAATAACATCAGGAACATGATGTAATCTAGCCCATATGCAGGCACTATTATGCCTCAGTTTCATTGTGGTTTTCAATGGGATTATACAGCCAATCTTTAGTTTTATATGAACTGGGCCTAGAACATTTGACCGATGACAGCTATTCACTTGACTCTGATGATGATTGACTTCCACTCAGGTTGCCAAACCATTATAGTCAACACTACCCACAACAGTCCTTTACAGGAGGACTACACTCACCAGGCAGATCAGACTACACTTGTCTATCATTTACAGACTAAGTAAACATTTTCGTTTTGTTTGATCAGCCCCAAGTAAACCAGGCAAACTTGAGGCAAACGTGACAGGACCTTACAGTGTTCGTTTAAAATGGAGCAAACCAAAGAGACCAAATGGTATAATTGTCCTATTCAAAGTGAGAATGTTCTGGAGGTTCAAGAACAGAAAGGGTGGTTACAAATATGAGACTTACACTATTCCTGCAAAAGTTACTAACAAGAGGAAAAAAAGGAGACTTGCTCGTGAAATGTCAGACAAAATTGTATGGAAGCTAGATCCTTTTAGAGAAATTGAGCTAAAAAGAATACAGCCCTTTGCTATCATATCAGTGCGTGTATCTGAGGCAACTAGAGACGACCAGGAGGAACCAATGTGGAGTCCATTTTCCAGTAACCAGACCATAGAGACTGAGGAAGGAGGTGAGAGGACTTAATTATATTAAGCAATTATAATATTGTTTTAGTCATGAAAAGGTTCAGATGTGATATTTCTGTGATGTATTTGAGAGGAATTGGGGGCTGTGCTGGAGGGAAGTAAGAGTACTTAATTATATTATGCAATAATATTGTTTTAGTCATGAAAAGGTTCAGATGTGATATTTCTGTGATGTATTTGAGAGGAGTTGGAGGCTGTTACTTGCTGTGGCAGGTCATTGTAAAGAATTGCGGGGTGGGGGGCGGGAGCTGGGCTGATTATAACAGGCAAGTGTGGCTACTGCCATGAGGGTAATACCTAAATAGAACTGACCAATGTTATTGGAAGGAAATGAAACATGAGTAATTACTTCCTTTTGTAAATTCTTTCTCTTCTCTACTTTCAAGTTTTTTTGGCATTGATCCTTTGCACTGTTTGCATGGTATAATTTGATTTGGTTGTAATAACTGTCCGTCTATTTCAATGCAATTGAGTTATTTTATTTAAGTGGGGTAGGTTAATTGTCTGTAATTGAGTAACATGGGCTCTTACCCTGAGTTCTAGAGCAAGAAGTAATAAAAAATAAGACTATATTCAAAGAGGTTAACAGTAAATAGCCAAAGCTAATAAACCTTTGGCTTTCTAAGTGACAGGAGACTTACGACTTCCCCCAGGATGGGATACCAGCCCATTGCAAGGTTACCCCCTCCCCCAGCATTTTATCAGCTTCCTTGACAATTTGATCACCAATATACACCTTTCTACTCCTGAGTGGAGAGTTTTACTTTGAAGTTATAGTGCTTTACCCAAGAATGCAACACACTGACCTGGCCAGTTCTCAAAATCAGACCTCTTGAGGCAATTAACCTGGCCCACTAGCAATACAAGAGGGGGACATAATGGGGTCTCTTAAAAACCACGAAATCACTGGAAAAAATTCCTCCAAAACTGCAAAACTGCTAAAATTAGTTTGATCAAAACCAATAACTGCTTACAAAACTGTAAAGTGATGACTAGTGGAGCATAGATGACAAGCCGGAACCTTCTAAGTAGGAAAAACTAAAAACCACATCAGATACCAAAAGCAAAAACCTGTTTGTATTTTTGACGAAAACCAAAACCAATCGCTAAAAAATGGAAAATCTGCAAACTGCAATAAGCACCAAATTAAACCAACTAGTTTTTTGACAGAAAAAGTGAGAAATTGATCTCAAAATTAGCCAAAACCCAAAATCCCAATGTCTTCTCATACAACCACTGCATGTCTCAATTTATTTAAGGGACGTACCCCAGAAAAAAAAATCTATTGAACTAAATCCAACCACTTTTTGTAGTTCCAACCTGCATAGGGGTTGGAAATTTTAGAGAGGTTTTTTTTTTTAATTTTATTAAGTAATTGGGTGACTCAATTGTATCTCAATTCTCTCCTAGCACCAAGCACTCCAACTGATGTCAAAGTGGAAGAGAAAACAGCTACATCGATATTAGTGACTTGGAAACCACCCGAGTATCCAAATGGAATTATTCAGGGATACAGGATAATTTACTCTAACAACACAGGGAAAAACTTTAGCACAGCAGATATTACAAAAGGGCTGAATGATAAAACATTGTCTTATCTATTAACTGATCTCAAGGAGAAAACAGAGTACAAAGTTTATGTAAGTATGTTTGTGACAGTTTTAATGAACTTTTGTACATGTAGTTGTCTCCATGCAAGACTAAAATCTTGAATCCTAATTAATGTGATTCTTCAAGTCACACTTTTTCATACTGATCAAAGGGGAACAGACTTGTGATCACAGTTAGAAAGTGCGGCGACTGAAGTATGATTCTTTAAATCACAAGTTGAGTTTTTAGTATGTTAACTACAGACTGCAGAGTGTTAAAGGTAAAGTCTGTTTACGAGGCTAGTGGCCCATTAGGCCAGTGCTTAACTCCGGTTTCTGTAGCGTGAAGCAACTAGGAATATTTCTACTCCCCCCTGGATGGGATGCCAGTCCATCGCAGGGTTACCCCCAGCATTAAATTGCCAGTACCCATTTAACACCTGGGTGGAGAGAGGCACTGTGAGAGTAAAGTGTCTTGCCTAAGAACACAACACAATGTCCTGGCCGGGGCTCAAACCCAGACCACTCGATCCGGAGTCGAGCGCACCAACCACCAACCATGAGGCCACTGTGCCTCTACCAGCAGAGTGGTAAAGCATCTGCAGTATTGTACCAATCCTGCCAACCCTGATTGGGAGTGTTCACACTTAATTCCTGCTTTTTTTGTCTGTGTCTGTGTCAAACATTAACTAATGTCAAGGTAAGGTCTTTTTCAGTTTCTTGGTGGAATGGCAGTGTGGGGCTGGGGGATTAGTAATGGGTAGAGAATGACTGACCCCTCTGTAACGTGCTCTACACCTTAACATCAGTATGCATATACTCCATGCTATTTTCTACTCATTCCTAAGGTATTGGCAAGGAGAATTTGTTTTAACAATCAAAAGCTTCTTTTAAGTTTGTGATCATTTCCTTTATTCTTGTGACTTTAATGTTTGATTCAAGGGATTGTAGGGAGAAATTAGATGTTAGTCATTCCTAAGGGTCAAATGGTTGTGTCTGGCTGGTGAGACTGCCTCATAAATAATCTAATATCCTTGTCAGTGGGCTAGCTGTTATTAATGATGCTTTTAATGTATTCTTCCCCAAACAGGTTCAGGCTTTTACTAGTTATCCAGGAGAGGTCAGCTCCCCAGTCATTTACAACAAAAAACCAGGTAGGGCTGGAAAAATATACACAATGATCTTCCTAAAATTATAAGCATGCAGGTCCCTGTGCAATTGCTTTTAATAATGTAAAGTTTGATGATTTTGAGTTTTGTATGATTTGATCATTGTACTTTGCTGATCCAGGAGATGTCGCAGAACGTACTGGCGTGGACACAGGATCATTGTATGGTGGAGTATTTGCTGGAATAATAGTCTTGGCTTTTGCCATCATCATTATTGTTTTAATTATAAGGTAGGACTGCCAAATTATTATACTCCCTTTTAGTGGTAGAAACGACAAATAGTTTAATTTAGATGTGGTCAAGGCTAAAAGCAGAGATCCAGTTACAGCTATAGTTCATGGATTCTGTCCAGCTCCACCACATTCAAATTTCCCACAGTGCAACTTGATTTCAGATTTCTGGAAGTTGGCATCTTCAGTTTAAGATATTTGAGAGATGCTTTGAATGTTTTGACATCCAGTGCTTAATATTAATTTGGTGTGATTGTAAACACAATTTTATGACCATGGATGGGGGAAAATTTTAGACTCTAATAATCTTGAAATGCATTGAATTTAATCAACAGAAAACACAGAAGACGTAGAGATTCCACAGAACTTAAGAACAATCGCTATGCCGTGGCCAACTCTAATGATAGCGGCATAGGAGACAAGGAGTCTCTTGACCGTGTGCCTGGGATCAAATATCTTCAAGGGCGACGTGGATCAGAAGGTTCGGAATCATGGGTTTAGTATGGAAATTATAAGCTTCTTGATTTGTATTTTGCACAATGTATGGTACAATTCTTTATATAGGGGGATTGTACTGTCCCACCATTTGGGACAACTATAAGTAGATGGTTTATCTGCTGCAACAATGTGATTAATAGATTTCACGGTTGAGCTTTTTGTTTCAGATTTATAAAAAGTGTTTAAAAAAAAATAGGAAACACCATTGGACTTACAAGGTTGGAAATAAAGTATCTGATAAGATGAAATAGACAGTAAAAGTTGCTTAAATCCTAACTATAAGTGTGAAATGGATGATAACTTGAAATTTAAATTAACTACATTTCAAATCTGTAAGATGAAAATTCAATTTTCTAAACAGACTACTGATTTTGAAGAAAGTTAACATGTATCATTTGACGTGGAATTGATAAATATCCCATCTGGATTGTTAGAGTTTAACCAGCTGTTATATATTATATCTACAAGGAAACTAATCATTTTCTGCAAGCTGAAAAATTCGCAATTTGTAAATATGAGTTCAAGATAAAGCTTTATACTAGTAAAAACTTTTGGAAAATAATTGGTTTAACAAAAGATACAATATTTTAAAAAACCTTTTTGCCAAGTATTGTAAGTAACATTTATGGGTAAATTTAGTTCAGTATGTAAATAAAGATTTAGCATGAAACCTGTGGAGCAATATATTAGACATAAAATTTGGAGAACTAAGTTTCAAATGCATCAAGATTAAAAATGGATCAATTAACATCAGCTGACTATTAAACAAAAGTTACCACATGAATAGCAAAGAATTGACCATGGTGCAGTGCCAGTAGTTAGGAAACAGAAGTTTAATATACCTATACCTTATTAGACATTCTGGTCTAGTATCGCTGAGTATTTTAACAAGCTGAGCCGTTTTTGGAGAAGCCAGCAGGGTGTGTAAAAATACAAACAACTAGTAAAAATACTAAGTGATACTACACAACAAATTGTCAAATAAGTTATTTAGTACCCAACTGCTTTTTTTCTGTTAACCGACTGTTTCTTCTCATTTTCTAATTTGGTGAGAAAAGCAAAGAGGATAGAGAAGCTTTAAACAGGTTTTATACACTACAAAATTACCAACTGTACAATATTGCAGGATATTTGACAGTGCTCCATTTACACATTATTTGTTTTGTAATTTGTACAGTTGGATAATGGTAAAGGTTACACTAGTATGGCTTTTGGATTTTAAACTTAAAGATTTCCACTGGTAAACTGTGGTGTCACCGATAATTTACAGCCACTGGATTGAATTGGTTGAAATGTCGATCAAACTTTTTATGATAGCAATCATTATAAGCAATTAAAAATGATTCCATTGTCAGTGGTTTCAAAACAAGCCGGCAACCACCAGAGTTCTGCCAGCAGTACTTGATTGTATGTTGCTGGTTACAGTTCTGGTCATAACAGTCTGCTCGTGACAAACAATCTCGGTGTTATCACAGCCGCCTTAACTTTTCCAGAGTCGGCCGTCTACTTCAAAACATTTTGAAACCCTTGCATTGTAGAACAGTGGAACATTATAGAAGTGTCCAGTGGACAATAAAGTGCTACTTAAATATAAACTCTTAAATTATGTTCTACATAGTTAATTGGAAAATTATTGCAAAGGGTTTGAGGGTTCCCTAGTGAAATCACCTTTCGTCTCAACATTTCAATTCATTTTCACAACTATAAATTTGCACTTAATTCATGTTATTTTATTCATGCTTAAATAATCATTAATTTTACACTGAAATATCACCTTAAAGCCTTTGATTGTGTTTTAATGAATTTTATTGTCAGATCATACTCACATGTTGTTAATTTTGTTGCAGCATATGATATGCCTTTTACGCTACCCACACTTAGCTTATGTGCGTGATTAACCTTACCTCAAATGTCTAATCATTTTCCTGAACTTTTTGGGTCTACTATTCACATAATTATTCCAGTTTTGAGTCACTGACACCTCACTTATAATTATTGTGTTTCTGGCATCTAGAATATTTTTTTACATTTAAACTTAACTTTCTTATTTAAATTTAACTTTCCAAGATTTTGACATCCTTGCACAAAGGAACCTAACATCTGATTGGATGATAAAAGAGAATAAACACCTTACTTAGATATGAGGGATACAAATATTGAGTAATAACTACCAACATGTGTTGTAAATGATGATTCTTTTAAATTACCAAATTATTGTACAGTTTTCAATTGCGCTAACCTGATTGCTTAGAATTTGATATTAGAGTGTGAATTATATCACCTGTAAAAAAATGCTGTGATACAGTAACAGTATTCTTAAATGAGGCTAATTAATTTAGCAAATAACAGGTATTGAACTGCTTAAATGAATAAATTTGCACTTTATTAAAAGAACTTTCACTGTCGATCATTGACTTGTTTGAATGCACCACAATGAAGCCTTTAGTTTTCAGTTGTATAGTGCAGTGAACTATAGAATGGTGTACTCATTGCTTATAGTCATGATACACATTTTAAGGGGAAGCACATTGCTGGTTTGAAAAAACTCAAGGTTAAGTGAGATTTGTGGTTAAAAAAATTATGAATTTTTATCAAATCTGACTTTTGTAGGTTTTTGGTACCCTCTCTTCCTGTCTTATCACAATTCGAGTAAGAAATCCAAAAAAAAAAAAAAAGAATGTTACCATTGTTTCACAATTCCTTCCTATCCCTCTACTCCAAAGGATTAATTGTCACACTTCTTGGTTGACTGTGTATTACAATGCTTGTTGAGTGATGAATAATTCATTGTTCTTGTTAAGTGCACTTTTACAGACGAGTAACAATGATTTTCCAATAGAGCAATTTTCAATTGAGTTTTGAAGATGATCCTGGATTGCTTTGGTTTTGCATTATTTTGCTCTGTGATTGGTCCAGAAAACTTGCAACACCATCTTAACCAATCAAAACCAATCCTAGCGTGGGTATGGTCAGTAACGATTTCCTGCCCTTCAAGCTGGCTGTCTGTTTTTACTTTGAGTTCTCATCGGTTAATGGTGACGTAAACCTTTGATCTCATTGGAAGTTGTAATTACTTCGGTTTTTGTTTATTGACACTCAATTGAACACTGCTCTTACTGTTTCACTTGGTGAAACAGGCCTAGGAAGACTTTTTTATCTTTAACAGTAAAATGAGTGCAGGGTACATTTAAGAAAAAGTAACTTAATTTTATTCTAAATTTTTATAAGAGCATGAAGAAACATTTCTGAAGAATAGCAACAGTTCTTTTTTTTTTTTTAAAGAAAGACTTAATTGCATGTTTGAGGTAAATAAATGAAGTTATTAAATCAGAGGTAAGTGAAAGAAACTGATACATTTCAAATAACATCTAACCAAAAGGATTAACAAATTTTTAGAAAAATATTTTCAACAAACACGATGTATGCCAGGAGAGAAAGCATCAAGAAATTCTGAGGCCTGGAAAAGATGCACTTTAAGTTCAGGTGATTGCAAAATTAATTAATAATAATAATTAAATGACAAAGAGTAATATTTAGGGCTAGAGTACAATTTTCCTTAAAATACATGATGGGGTCAAATCACAATTTGAATGTCCAAGTGCAAAGCTTCAGCATTGTATTAAATGTAAATATCTGTAGGATTGTTCAAATTTATTGTTTAACACCTAATATGTGGTAGGTAGGTTAAGTCTGTAGTTGAGCAAAGTGGCCCAGCCAGCCGGACCTGATCCAGGTTTTCATAGCATGAAGCAACTAGGGACATTACCACTACCCCCCCACCTTGGGCTCCCACTCCCCCTGACCCTGGCAGGGTTATTGTGTTGAGTTCTTAAATCTCACGATGCCTCTCAACGCTTAGGTGTAGAAATGATGGTAAATAATTTATTTACTATCAGGGAAAGCCCATCTGAGGTGGGGGTAACCTATAGCGCGTACAAACTTCACTGATCCATCCCATGGGGCTCTTCCAAATCAATTACAAATACAATTAGATTAGAAGAAATTAGTTCAAAAAGATAAATACACTGAGTGGCATTCCATTCAGAGAGGGGGAGGCTTAGCTCTGGCTACATCATACCGCAGAAACTCTGATATGTTGTAGCGGGATGGACCGCTTTGTAGAAGTAAAGGCTTAACGTACCTATAGGGACAGAGGGTAGGGGTGGAGAATGATGTCTCTTCTGAAGAAAGCAAGGTGTAGACTTGTTGCATTCTTTTAGAAATGGAAAACCTATTGATACACATATGAGAAGAGAGCTGAAAATTTGCACTTGGACGAGCTCGTGTCACTGATTCCCCTCTGTACAGTTTCTATGAATGATGATTGACTTTTTAAAATTTCATAAAAAAGAGTTGAAATAAGTTGAAATGTTACTTGTGATTAAAAGGTGAATAATAAATGTAATTCATGAATAACACAGTTTAAAGGCCCTTTAAAAGAAGACGTTGTTGACAATAAAGTGTAGCGAATTTGTACTGTGTTAGAATCTCCATCGTTTAACCCTTAAACTCACAGAAGTGATTAACATGTAACTTCTCCCTGTAATATCCATACAGTATCCAGTAAACAGGTAATGAGAATACTCACACTCATCAGGTAGAAGTTGTAACCTTGATTGAACACCAAATTCTCCTAACCAATTTACAACGAAACGTGTAGCAGGTAGAGGGGAGAAGTAACAATTAGATCTCGAAAGTGAAAGGGATAACTAACACCAGTAGTCAGGTGCGTTGGCTAAAGAAAAAAAAAATTGGATTAAAGAACAAGGTGGCCAACCTGAATGAGTCGCATGGAAATTAAGTAAAGCTCAGGTTTGAAGCGTTAAATATTCTTTTTTTCGGAGACGAGTGCACAAAAAGACAGTCATCAGTGGAGAGAGAGTACCAAGTTCATTCTGTGCAGAAAAAAAATGCTGACAAAGGGCTAACGCTTCAAACTTCATCTCTAGAAACTCTTAACAGTGGCCAATTTTCATTTCCATTTTACATCGCCTCAGACGTTTCATAACGACTATATTAGGCATTTGTTACAAAAGCTGTGTTTTATTTTGCAGATGTAGTGGGTCCGGGAAAGTTTGTAACAATCAAACCCATTCCTATTGAAAAGCTGAGAGAGTACTGTGAAATCAATCAAGCTGATGGCAAAAAGGCATTTAGGGAAGAGTTTGTGGTGAGTTAGTAGTAAGGGTCAATTTTTACTGACGTCATTTTGCCTACAGACAAACGTTCTACCTCGGGAATGATTGTTCGTCACTACACTTGTCAGGTCAATTTTAAGGCCTATTTGTAATAAAAGTGTCAGCTTAAGGCTATTTTGAAAGGAATACTAGTCTTTAACTAAACATTTATGACTGATTAATCAGCCTCTTCAAGGCTTCCTAGGTGAATTCGAGGGGATGCAGGAGAAATTTGGGCATGCGAGGAGAAAACGAGGGGGATTGAGGAGAGAGCTTTCTCGTCAGTTAACCCAGACTCCTGCAGTTTTTCTCTCGCTTAGTTCTTCCCATTCTCTTTGACTGAGAGGTCGTCTCCGGCAGCTTATTAACCTAATCATGCGATTAAACCCAACCAAGTGTTTTAAAGCTTCACGTTGAATCACAACTTTCTGATTTTTTGTTCATTTTTCAACCGCAGTCCATCCGCGTACCAGGAAACTTCACATGGGAGAGCAGCCAGAGACCAGAAAATAAAGCCAAGAACAGATATAAGAACATTATTCCTTGTAAGTTTAATTTACACACCTTATATTAACCAGGGGCGAATCAGTAGTATAGCCAAAAAACTATTGCTAGAAGGATTTTACACGAAAAGCATTACTTTGAAGGAAACAAAAAAAACAGGGAGGGATTGAGAATTCTGCCCCTA